TAATTAGGCTAGGCAGAACAGTAAGAAGCAAGCAATTCTTTATCTATGTGAGAGGTTATTCTCTTTTTCTGAAGAATTCAAAGTAATAAATGCAGCAAAACGTAAATTGCAAGGATAAATGTGAGAAGTATTATAAACACATGTAATTAATGGGCAGTATTGAACTGTTAAGTGGATTTTGTTAATTTAGTTGATGGTTACTGAAGAAAAATTTGCATGTTATAAAGTGGAAATGAAATTGCATTGGAGTGGCTGCAGTGCCAGTCACCTGTAACTATAGATAAATACAGTCTTTTACCATGCTCACAAACGTGGCCACATGAAGAGTCCTGTGATCTCAGTTCTGAACACCTATGACGATTTCTGGGAAGGTGACAGCTCCACACAGCGGGACTCTCCGGTGTAACGTTATCCATCGTAGGAGCTTCAGACGTTGGCAGGCAGCCTTTAACACTGCAGCCTTGCAACTCTTGCTCTCAGCCTATGCTGGTGACTTCTGTTCCCATGCAGGCCTGAGTGGCAGACAGGACTGTTTGCATGCACCCAAGCTGCTTTGCCATGAAATCCGTCAGTTTAACTTTCTCTGACTTCTTTCTGCAGACTGAATACACTGAGAAGAGCAGATACCTGCTCTCCATTCCCCTGGCCCCGCTGGGGGTTCTGAGCAGATCAAGGAGCAGTAACAAACAGCTGCAGGGCATTTTGGCTGCAGCTGTTTGCTGGAGGACTAGGCATCAAAGCCCTCAAGGATGAGTATTAAACCATCCCTGTTCCCTAATGCCTCAAGTGTACTATCTTCCTTGTTCTTCTGAACTGAGTTCCCAGGCACAGAATTAGGCTAGTGAGAATGGGTTGCATGAAAAGCCACTATGCTGAAAGAGAAGAGTTATCTGACATTTAACCTTGCCTTAAGTATAAGCTTGTATTTTTAAGCTCTGTCCACCTCGAGAGTGTGGTTTCAGTTGCGTAAAGATTTTGCTGCCACCTTGAGACATCCTCTTTATCTTTTTTTTCCGGTTGTGTAATTGGTTCTGGTGATTGGCTTGCTGATCTGGCTTTTTTTTCCCTTCCAAAATGCATTTTCAGTCAGGTCAACAAAGTGGTCTGGTTTACGATGCAGCCACCCAGTTGTGAATATCAACCCAAGGTTGACGTTGCTGCAGCAATACAGAGGAGAGGGTCACAGAAGACAGGGATTTACCCAGTTGATGACAGCTCACGCTTCGATTACACAGTGTGCTTTTGTAAGTCTGGCCTAGCTGTTTTCCTGCAGACTGAAGTGAGGTGCCTATCTTTTAGTAGGTCTTAGAATTCAGCCCCCAAGCTGGATGTTTATCCTGGCATTTCTTTCTCCCCAGTAAAATTCAGCAAGAGACATGAGAAAGATGAGCGAATTTGAATTCAGGACTTCCACTACTTGAGGGACATTCTCACTGACAGACTACTGTCTTGTTTCTCATAGTATCTGTCCTGTCTCCTGAATGTTTCTTTAACACAGTTTTCTGTCTGTGGGGCCGGGGGGAAGGTGCAGAATCCATTTCCAGCCTTTTTCTGATGGCCTTTTCTTGCTAAAAGTGTGAATTTGGATTTCCCCTGAGTGAGGAAGCTCTGCAACTTAGATCCCCCTGTGTCAGGACACCTACTGTTACTCCAGTGCTTATGAAAAGGTGAGCGCCATCAGTTCACTTTCCTTGACAAGCAGTTTAATTGAAAGTGGCTGTGAAATGTGCTTTGTGTTAATACTACTGTGTTTTAGACAGACTACTGTACTGGTCTCTTGGGCTTTCTGTCACTGAAGTGTCTGGTTAGTGAATTCTAAAGAGGTTTAGGTGCGAGATAAGAGCCAATGTGATCAGTGGAGCCAAGATATCATCCCCAGTCACATTCAGGAATAGAACTGTAGCTCTTTAACTTGATTTGAAAAATCAAGTCTGTTTCAAAGTTGAATAGAAATTTGATCTTGCATAAAGTTGTACCTAGAAATGTGAAACAATGATGTAGTATCTCATTATGCCAGATGTAAGCGCAAATGCCAGATCAGTAGTCTAGCTGTCATTTGTAATTGTCATTGCTCTACTTTTGGTCAGTCTTATGTATTCATAGTATGCCAATCAATGTCTTACTTAACCATTATGTTCCACTTTATAATTGTGATTATTTCAGGCTTAGCATTTGGAAGAGCTTTGCATGCATACTAGAAGTGAATGCAGTCTGGTCAGAGAATAGACCATCTCATTTAAATGCCTCTGAAGCATTTCTCACAGTGAATAACAAAGTCATTGAACAATACAGAACTGCTCAACCCTTTAGTCTCAGTACATGAGGATCGAAATGCTTCATCCTTAGAGAAATAAGTGTTGTCCTTTCTTTGGATGATCTAGAGGAGACTTAAGCATCTGCATCCAGTATTTTAACCTCATTAAAAATTGTCATGTTTAGGTAAAAATCCAGCCAAGCTCCTGAGACTTGTATGTTTTGTGATACTCTTGTAACTGTAAGAAGCCCAAGATTCCTAAAGGCTCCTAGTGCTAGAGTCATAAAGTCATAAAGATTGCAGGAACAAGTGAGGATTTATTTTCTCTGTCAATCTGAACAAATATTTTCTTTAATCTTGACTACCTTAAAGGTTAACATCATTTGGGAAAACTTTCAATACACTCAGGAAAAAGTTTAATTTTTACCTACTATCAGTTTAGAAAGAAACTAATATATATATATAAAAAAATCCAACTGTTCATTGACTCATTATGAGGACAGAAATGACAGCACTTGGCAGGCTTACAAATAAATTATACAACAGCTGTAGCAAAACAGTGGATGTAAATGGACATAATGGACAGTCACATTTCAATCCTTTCCACCTATAACCTCCTACATACGCACTTTTTACTAGTTATAAACTAGTAAATAGTCAGGAAACTATTTTCAGTGAGTATGTACGGTATTCTCTAACTTAACTGCTTTCATTGTGAGATAATATTTTCCACAAAGACTAGCAGCTTTTTTCATTTCTGTAGGCTCTGTATTTTGGTAAGTGAAAGAATGAGAACAAATCTGATGTTTAACGTTGAATTTTCTGCATGCTGAACATCAGATAAGCTATGACTGTGGTAGTCTGTTTAATTGGACTGCATGTGTCTGTGATGGAACAGGTTAGCAACAGTTCTAAAAGACTACAAGTTCCTAAATTCACTTAATACAGCCTCTCTGTCTCTAAAAAAGGGGAGGGAAAGCAAGTGAATGGGAATAATGGAGATAGTTCTAAATACAGCTGATATATAATATTTCAATAAAGCAGGAGTTAATCTGGTGTACCTTTGATTTTCAAAGTGGTCCCACTGCTCTTCTGACATTTGAAAAGGGTGTGTGGTGGGCTATGCTGAACTCAGGAGCAGCCACTCATGAGCAGCCTTGCAGTCCACTTCTTGTTGGTGGCTCAGCCCCCAGTATTGCTGTAGAAGGAGCAGGAGCAGAGGGCAGCAGCAGAGTACAGATTTGGTTTGTAATCCTGGGAAACAATCCCAACCACAGGGACAAGCTTTTCATCATTTTTTTTTTCAATCAAGCCGTCTAAGCAATTTGTAAGAACAGCCCGAATGTAATCGCCTATCCTGTCATTGAAAGATCTGTTTTAATCACAGCTTACTAGATGGTTATTACCTGAAAACTTGCAATTAACCTAATGACCAGTGTTTTTGACAAAAATAGCAGAGTATGATATGATTAATAGCATTATCTTGGGAATGGATTTTTACAATATTTACTATTATCAGGACTGTCAGACATTTCAATGTATACTTCGTTGAAGAAACTTTACAACTGATACAGCAAAATGTGTATAAGTAAATTAAGTTTTTTAATAGTTTCTTCAGATTTAACTAATACATTTAAAGTGTTTGGATTTCTTTCATATGCTTCAAGTACTGGTATAAGAGTGAATTAAAAATAAAGTTAATCAATTTTGTTCAAGACAGAAGAGGCTTTAAACTGAATTTGAAATAGATGTATAATAGGTAAAGCCCCTGGATTAAATTGGATTTTATAGAGTTGTGAAGGAAAAGAAGTTGTTCACTGAGTTCCAGTTGATCACTGTTATCAGGTGCTGGGAGTCTGGCACTGCAGTGTAAAATATTTGTTTCCTTTGTGACATCTATTTACCCAAAACAGTGTTTTCTTGAACCACTGATCCACCAGCTCTGTAACCGCTTTAGAGAGGAACAAATGCTTGGAATTCTTAACATATTTTATTGTAACTTTAGGTACAAAATTTATAAAATTTGTACCATGCAATCTCGCTCATAGAGATTAAAGAGCTATTGTTCTGTTTTATCTGCAGTCACCCCAGTGACTTCAACTAGCTTTGGCCTATTACCTTACACTTGAGACGAAGATGATAAGTTATAAAATGCTAATACTTGTAGTTAAGCTAACTTGAAGCAGCAGAAATGAGTTGATACAAAATCATTTTTTTAAAAATGAAACAATCTTTTATTCAGGGTTCAACTTTTAAAATTGTAAGAATGAAACTTTTACTGTAGGTTATTATATATAATTACAAATTTAAATTAGGCTTTGAGAGAATATATTGTTAAATAGATGAATCAATAACAAGGACTAAAATATTTTGTTTTAGATTTTTTTTCTCTGTTGGTTTCTAAATTGCTTTTTGCAATTTATAACAATGTATTTATTTTCATAATTCTCCTAAAACAATGCATAATAAAGGCCTATTGACATTTTGGAAGCCTATTCATGATGTCAGAGTTGAATGTTTTTATTTTAAAATATCATGCAAGATGCAAGCAATGTATAATTTTCACAGGACTAGATGTAGTAATTGCTCTTTCAAAAGCTGTAGTTCTCAGTTGTTTGACCTATCCTACTATGAACTAGTGAACAGGAAAAAGCAGTGTCATGAATAGACATAAGTCAAATCCTTTTAAGACATTCTGAGGGGCAAGTAACTACACAATCATGCTTTACAGATGAAAACTTCAGCCTTAAGGAATAATCTGCATACCTGCCTGCTGTTCTGCCCATTGGAAAAAGCCGCATTGTTTTTCCTTCACAGAAGGGCACACAAAAAAGTTCTTTCCATTATTGGGACCAATCTTCAACACAGTCTTCATTACACAGCGCTTCCCATGGTTACAGAATGGAAAATTCAAGTCAGCCCACTGCCAAAAAAAAAAAAAGTTTTATTGTATGTGATGGCAATAAAGTCCTTATTCTAAAATTAGTAACAAGTAAATCTACAGGAACGGCTTTAGCAAGTAAGAGGCACTTCTCATAGTTAATGGAGTTGTCTTTTGTGGTTAGTGATTTTAGATTTTTCTGTAACATTAATCGTAACTACATGTAATTTAAATGGTGCTAAATATTTTAACATTTTAACTTTAATTGATGTTAACACACACATTATTTCCAGTTAAGACATCACAGTTAATACTGTCCTAAGTTCATCTGCAGCTACCTGCTGGGAAATGATTAAGCCAACTTTTTTCTCAGTCACGCTTACATAGCAAGGAGCAATGGCCTCAAGTTGCAGATGGAGCAGTCATTAGTTATTAGTACACCACTTGTCTAGACAAGGAATCTCCTCCATTCATGGGGGTTTTAAAGATTTCCACTAGACAGATATATGGATGATGATTTAGTGTTAATAATAGTCCTCCTTCCAGGAGGAGGTTGAAATCGCTTCTAGAAGTCCTTTCTAACCAACACTATGTATATACCTTCCTTTGCACTCAAGTACATTGAGTATTTATACAAGCAGGTGTTTTCAGAGCTGTGAGAAGTAAGAAAAACTACTCATTCATCACTACCACTATGGTCTCAGTTTTAATTCAGTGTACAAAGGGTGTTTGTAGAGCTGTGAGAAGTAAGAAAAACTATTCATTCATCACTGGTCTCAGTTTTAATTCAGTGTACAAAAGTATGAAAATGACCTTAAGCTTTAGATGGATCTTATCTTTCTACATGTACCAACACCAGGGGTAAGTGGGCCACAAGGAGACCTATTGAACTAAGTAAATGGCATGTAGTCTTACCTGTTTTATTAGAAAACAAACTTTGAAAACTTATACATACTTGAAAGTAGTCACACCGACATTTTCTGGGTAGAGGACAAGTATAAAACTGCCTGCCCTTGTTTTCTCCGTCCTTTCTCACAACTCTGAGAATGCAGAGGCGGCTGTGTTTACTGCAGCGAGGATGGCCCGTGTTTAACGAACAAATACCATCTGTCATATTAACTTGAGGCTTGCTGTAATGACAGGTTAAAAAATCACTTCTGCATAATATTAAAGGGATTACCAACACCACATCCAGACAAAGAAATCCCTCTCCTACTGTTAGGGTGGTACTCTCAATGTACTTTTGCACACAGTGCCAGCCAGAGCTTGATTTTTCTCAGGCACCTCACTGTGCTTTTAGGTGAAGATTATTAGGAGCAAAAAGGCAGCTAACACTATGCTCGTCTTCCACTAGTCCAATTTTCCTAGCATTAACTGTTGTTTCCAGCTATTTTAATATATTCTTCAATTCATCTGCAAAACAACTCCTACCACCTATACTTTATCCAACTTCCAAATGTCAACATACTTTAGAAGAATTATCTCAGAAGAGGAGCAAAAAGGAAAAATACTCAGGGTAACAGAAGAAAAAATCCATTCTCTTTAATAAAAAGGTACCATAATGCTTCAAATCATATTTTGACAAGAAGTAATCTAGATGAGTGGGTAGAATAGTGTTCTCTGAGGAGATGAAGTTTATTTCTTCATTCCTCATGACTGAAATAACCAGAGATTATCTGAATGTAATACATAAGGTTTTCTTTTTCACATTAACATTTTAAAATAAGATTAATACTCTCTGAAATAAAACTTTCTAATCTATTTACAGAGCAGAAGAGCACTGATGAAAACTGAAAAGATTTATTAGTTCATTCCTGTTAAGTTTTTAGCTTAGGAACTTTATGTTGTTTTTTATGCTTGGAAGATCTCTGTAGACATGGCAAAGCTTTCTTACAACATCTCACTAAAATAAGACAAAAACCTCTTATATGGTACAACTTAAAAAAAAATAAAGAGCCCTCCCCTTAACTATAGATACGTTTAAATTGATGACTTGCTATAACTACCTGCTACTGGGATTGATAGCCTCCTTTCTTTGTGCTTTTCCTCTATTCTCAATTATCCTGCCTGACATGGTTGTAGCCTTATATTCAGGAGAATCTGTCTAGTATGTCAGCAAGCAAGATCTGATTTCACAACTAGGTGCTTCAACAGCACAGACAATTTCTCTAACTTTCAGACAGTTAATATTTGCCTCTAAATTACTAACTCTTACTAGTTATATACCTCTAACTACCTTTCAGACAGCTAGTGTTTTAGCCAAGTCTCCATCACAGACCTTTTCTCTTCTCCTTAGGTTGCAGTAAGCAAAAACACCAAGAATACATGCTCTTGCAAATAACAAAATAAACTGATTAAAGAACATCTCTTTAAACAGGGAAAACAAATTCATCTTTTCAAAGACAGACATCAATTTGCATTTTGGAATCTCTCACAGTGATTTCAAGAATAGCATACATACATAACTACATTACTAATGCAAGCAGTGATCAGACAGTTCTATGGGCAGAACTTTGCCCGCTTACAGATAAGAACTATAGTGTGCTATTCTATCTAAAAATCTGAACTATGAACTGCAGTTTAGTTAACAGTGGGATGGGCTAGATGCCAAAATCGGGACTTTTCCAGTAAAAGCCTATGTAGTTGTTTTTGAAATCTGAATGTAATTTTACTTACCCAGGAATAAGATATCCCTGACATAAACCTGAAGACAATGTCTAAACCCCACAGCATTCCATTAGTCTTCAGGTATGAGATTATAAAGACTTAATTACATTTTAGAATAACATACCTGATTCCTGTGTTTTGCTGGAGAATAGAAGGTACATGATCAGTTTTCTGCTTCTTTTGTATGGGTTTGAAAGAGAAAGCCTGCTGATAGGAGGGTGAAGCCATAGCCACAGTGACATTTGTTGAGCAGTACTTGTCTGTACTTTCCCTTGACTGACGTACGTCACTTGGGATTTGATCCAAATTGTTCTTCGGCGAAACACCCTGAGCGTGCGCATCCGATATTTGGGTATCATTTCTCTGAACAACTTTGCTACTGAGGTCTGTTACGACTAGGGTTGTATGTCCAAACGCAGCTTTCCTATTTATTTTTATTTCAACGCTTGGCTTTCCAAAATCATTACAAGGGTACTTCATTAAGCTTCTGTTAAAGGCTACAGAATCGTCATCATTCCCTGTCTTTGGAACTAAAGAAAAATAAATGATTGATTATAATCCATGTGTGTAGTGTGAGTCTAAAGATTATATTTATGATCTGTAACTGTTCATACACAGAGTGAAAGAGTGAATTTACTTCCGTTTACCGTACATTTTGAAAAGTCACAAAACTTGTCAGAGATCAGATATATGCCAAACTTCTTCAATTACCAAACGTAATGCACTTTTGGAGCCAACATGATGTTTTAGGATGACACTACTGTAATGCAAATGGGACTACATTTGATTAGTATTCTGTATTTGAAAGCTAGAGGAGAGGAGATAGGGAACCTTAATTCCTGTAAGAGAAAGAAGCAAGCAAAGCTGTATTAAACAAAAATCAAAACCAAAAAAAAAAACTCGGATAACACTCCTGTGACGAAAAGTCTTACTAAAAAAGGGGAGAGGGAAGAGAAGGCACGGGAGAGGAGTTGTATTCCACCGATTCTAACAGGTTTTCACTTTCCAGGCCTGTTTTCAGTAATAGCACATAACTAAAGAGATGAAACTAAGAAGTCATACAGGAAAAGAAACAGAACAGGATTTAGATACAAAGCTTTAGAGATCTTTACTGTACAGAAGTTGCTATATATTTTAAGATCCAGCTAAGAGTATTAATTCCAGGAGAGATGTTAATTGGTAAATCTGAGTCTGTGAGCAGATTAAAGCTTACAGGTTTCTGGCACTGATTTTACAGGAAAAGAAAAAGATTAGGCTCTGCTGGCAACACATCTCATGCTATGCACAAAGACATTACTTTCCTTGATTCCTGCCCTGGGGAAATGGAGTTCAACTGGAATAAGAGAGGAGTTTGATACACACCACTCCATTCATGAAAGATGGTATCTAGAATGAATGAACACTTTTAAAAAAAAAAAGATTTGAAACTGATTTTGTAAGAGCAAGCATCAGTACCATAAGGCGCTTCTTCAAGCAGGCTGGGAGTTTTTTGGCACTTTGAAAAGTATGGCTTTGAGCCATGAGACAAGAGCTATGAGACCTTCCGATCTTCAACCTGTATTCTTTATGTTGCTAAATCCAGAGAACTTTTAAATGATCGGTCCTAAAGCCTAAACAAGCCGTTAATTCTTCCCAAATACAGAAAAAGCCTGTATACTACTTAAAAGCATCTTCCCCTTCAGTTTTGTAGATTTAGGGCAAAGAAAATAAAAGATTAAGTGGTGGTATGCAGATTTTTGCCACTTTAGTGAATGAATCTCTGGTCATAAGTGGAGGGTTAGTTTTTAAGGTAAAAAAAGAATTTAAGGTACAAAAGAATCATTGAAGAATTTGTATTAGGCATAAGAAGTCACATATGTGCACACCTTCAGTCTTAGGCTTCTTGGATGTAACAATTCAAAATATCTGAGGGTGAGTTTTGACCTACTGTGACTGATATGCTCCTTCCCCAGCTCATCCTGACTTCTCACACATAGCCCTGTTCCTACATAGTTTACTGTAAATCCTTCTACAGAGTGATTACCTCACTTTGCCTACTGAAAGAGAAAACTAAGCTCTGCTGTTCACAAAGAGAAAGAAACAAAACCCCACAGGTCTCAGGGGCAAGGGAAAGTTCACTACTTCGCTCATCTCTTATTATCTAGATTTCTGAACAGAATTCTGTGCAGAAGGCAGCACGTTACTCTTTCAGTTCCATCTTCCTTTTACTTTCTATCTGCTTCTGCTTATCAAGAGTCTAGATAGCAGCAGTAAAGCCTCAGGAAAGGACGAACAACAAATTTAGCAAGTGAGGCCTGAGTCATCCTTATTCTGAATCTAGAGAAAAAGAAAAAGAAAACTAGCCCATGAGAAACGCTGACACACCCTTTGCAAAGGGTACTAACATATACAGTCTCCTACGGGTTTTGTTCACATGAAAGGAGTTACTTTTTGCCCTGCCCTGACAATGATTTTCCCTCTATTAGACACATGCTGCAAACCTCTGATATTTTAAGGGGAAGAATGCCAAGAGTCTCACTCCTTTCCCCAGTAAAAACAAAGGGTCGCAGAAATGGCTTGTCCACAGAATCCTCACCAATACATGAGGCTGGAAAACTGGATTATTTTTAGTATTGAAGACAAGACATAAGACTCTTTCAAAATTGAGCTTTACAGTTAGTGAAAGTTGCATAAAAGTGGTTTACAATTTACCTCTACACTTAACTACATTTTTCCATAGTTTTATGTCTTTGAAAATGATATCAAGAATACAGTCCTCTCTTGTCCCCTCAAGCCAAGTTCCAAACATCCTTTCATTACCTTCAGGCCTTGAAGTCAAGCAGGCATCACAGATTTTAGCAGACGGCTTGTTTATTAGGGTACAGGACATGCATGTCCACTCTTCTTCAGATTTCTGAGCTACATGTTCATTAGAACATGACCTCCTGCCATAGGCCCAGCCAATTAGGCTATTTCTAGTTGGCAGTTTGCTGTGAAACAAAAGAATGATGTTAGCATCTTGTGAAGTTTCTTCTACAAATTACCTTACACCACTGTGTGCTGGGAGACGCAGGGCTAGAGGAAAAGTAGTACACAGTGTTACAGCTGTCTGTCGTAACTCGGACAGCATGTCATGATTAGAGCTTCATCTTTTCCCTTACCTAAAGGGCAAATCTTCCCCAATGCTGGAGAAGTAGTACAAATAAAAATATTCAAACTAAAATTGAGAGAAAGCTAATTATTATCCACTTATATTCTGCAGCACAATGCCTCAACCTTTCTCAAATCTGTATCATTTTCAAGTGCTGCAGCAAAAAGCCTGTGGATAACGAAGCTTGTTCTAGTATTTTCCCCCATCCCTTCTACAGAAGGCTTGCTAACAAATGCATTAATGAATTAGAACTGTTCAGAGGCTGAAGTCACACAATATAAAGTCTTGATTATCATTTGAATGATAGTCATTAAACCAAAACAACCAACAGAACTGAAAACATTAAACTGAGTCTGTCTTGTGAGTCACCATTTGTTAAAATATCTTTAATACTTAGGAGCCTGTTCAGAATTATGAATTTTCTTTCTTGCTTCATGCTTTTTTCCTCTCCTTAAAAAGAGCTCAAGAATTTCTTACCTGTGTGAGACAAAGCTGTACTACACATACTTCTATAGATTTTCTTTGTAGTTATTAAGCTGTTAGCTCTCATAGAATGCTTAAAGTTGGAAGGGACATTGGGTTCTCAGGGACTCCCCTGCTCCAGCAAGGCTACCTAGAACACCTTGCACAGGATTGTGTCCAGGCGGGTTTTGAAGATCTCCAAGGAAGGAGACTCTACGAGCTCTCTGGGAAGTGTGTCCCAGTGATCACTCTCAGTGATACCACCTTCCGGTGGCGGGTTTGTTTGCTTAGAATCATTATTATTATTTTGCAATCACTGCATGTTATCAAGGACTAATTTTGTCATCTGTTGCTGGATACAGACGCTGCTGGCATGTTAAATATAACAGTTAGCAATTCAGTAAGACATGTAAGTTTTTAAGTAATTTTTAAGTATTTTTTTAAGTGACTGATAAATGTTCAAAATTTTTCTGCAAAGCTTTCCATGGAATTATGCACATCCTGGATACTTCATAATCTCAAAACTTTAAGCAATTCAATTATAAACCAAAATGTTGTTCTGGTGAATTGCTGTGATAATTCTTCAAACCTGTCATTTATTCTGCATTTATCACTCTGCTCAACAGCCTTCCAAGATATGTAATGGTAGGGCTATCTATTACCTACCATAGTTCTTCCACAGCAAGAAGAGTATGGACAATAATGAGAAATGCTGACAGTTCAGAGAGCCTGTCCTGTCAAGAGTTAGACTAGACATTACAGTAGCATTCACTGAAATACTATGACTAGATAACAAAAAGCTTAAGTGGTAAGTTTGTATTAAAAATTGATATTTTCACATAATTAAATCAATTATCCTACTCAGGAATCAAAGATGCTTTATTAGGCTGATAATATTCAATGTACCCAGTATGTGTAATCTGATGTTTTTCCTGTCTTACTGGATCATGAGATAGGGGAAAAAAAGGAGAAAAAAAAATATATATATATATACACATATTTAGAGATTCAGGACACATTGATGTGATTTGATGAGGTGTTTTATTCATATTTTCAAGTGAGCAAAAACCACTGGGTAAAATACTGTAGTTTATGATTTGCAATAAGTCAGTGGGGTAACAGTGGCTCCTGTTAGCCTTGAAAAGCTTGAAATGTGATATGCATTTAGTTACCACTTCAGTTAAATGTACTTTTATTGATAATAAGAAGTCACTGAATAAATGACTCCAGAACATCTACAAGATCTGTTGCATTATAAATTTACTGAAGTGTTAACTTCATATCCTGAACAAAACAGCACAGATGCAAAGCTGTCCAGCTGTTATTTGACTAGAGGGGGTTCTCCATGAAAGCAAATAGAGGTACACATTTCTTTCTTCCTTATGCCATTCAACTTCACGGTATGTAAGCATCCAAACCTATTATATTGATAATACCAAGAATATGGAACAACTTTTCCAGAAATAGTGTACAATTCTGAGTATTGCAAGTTGTTGATTCCCACATTTGGGCAAAGTACCAGCTATTTCACAGAAGATAGGCCCTTTGAAATATACTGGTATCATCAAGAAACCACAATTTTTACACATTTATAAACACTAGTGGCCAAAATATTTGCTTTTGTAAGTTAAGAGGTGATAAGATATAAAACAAACAAGGATCCACCTGTATTTGCAAACTGATGTCCTCTTACCGTTACAGCACTTTTCAGAAGACAGCTATGCTCAACAGTATTATAGAATCAGAGCCATACCTAATATTGACAAGCTGCGCATCAGCCTTCTGACATCGCCAGCAGAAGTAGGTCATCCTATTGTTCTCTCCTAAACGACAGGCAGTGATGTTCCCATCGCACTGACCGCAGCTGGGCCGCCTGTATACTTTGTAGTGCTTGTACAGCGCAGATCCGGTTTTGCGGCACTAGAGTACATGCAGAATGAAAGTTAAAGACCCAAGATAAATTTCATTTTAACTGAAGCCAACAAAAAATGAAATAAAAAAGGCCCTCCACATGTAAACTGACAGGTGAATTACTACACAAAGATGTTTAAGGCATATTCATAAATGCTGTCATCTGTACTTCAGGCATATATAAGGAGAGTTGACTCTTAAACTAGGATAATAAGGTCTGGAATTCTCCAGATAATAGAAAACAGAACAAATAAAAAATATACTTGCATGGCACAGGCAACATATGCCATGGGTCCAGCTGGATCAGCTAACTGTGATTTAGTACCAGTCTTTGACCTGCCCTTTGCAGGTGTGTTGCTAAAGGGTTCACAGCACCAACACAGCAAAAAAACAACAACAACAAAAATAAATAAAACAGAGCCAGCTCAGGCATGAAACTAAAATATGGGTTAATCAAACTTAATCATAGAATCATAGAATGCTTAAGGTTGGAAGGGACCTCTAAAGGCCATCTAGTCCAACCCCCCTGCACACGCAGGGTCTTTTTTTCTTCTTTTTTTTTTTTTTTTTTTAGTTTGAACCAGTGACATTTTCTTTATTTGTGCTGATGGGTTAGAGAAAGAAAAATACTTAAAAACTGCAGTCCAAACACCCACAGCTTTGCCTTCAGAAGCTATCTGCCCCACCCCTCCCCCCCCAAAAAAAATGTTGTTAGGTTTTTCTTCCATCAAGTATGTGATTGTCACAAGTTCAGAAGTCTGGGATTCCTGGGTTCAGCTGGTACCAGACATCCCTGTGTGGACAGAATTCCCTGATTGCCAGCACATGCTAGCGCCTGTAGGGGTGAAATCCTTGCACATTATGGTTCTGTCCTCGTCCAAAACCACTTCCTCCAGCAGGTGGGCCACTTGATGGTTGCACCGAGGGGCCTCCATAGGGAGGGGGTTGGTGGCTGGGATCAGAGAAACCTTGTCCAAAACCACTCAAGTCTTGTCCATATGCAAACTGACTATAAGGGAATTCTGGCTGAGCAGTTGGGGGTTTGCTCATGTCCTGAGTTGCCCGAGATGGTGGCAGTGGTGGTGGAAACGCTAGTGGTGCTGCCCCTGGAGTGGCAGGTGGTGGGGGTACTCCAGGCAGGGCAAACTGGTCAGGTGGAGGAGCTGGAGCAGTGTAACCAAAACTAAACGGTGGAAGGGTGCCCTAGCCCTGTGGAAATCCTTGTGGAAGGGGGAATCCTCCAGGAGGTGTAGAGACTATGTATGAGATAAATGGTGGTGGTGGTGGAGGAGCTCCTCTTCCTGGAGGAGGTGGTCCATATCCACCAATTGCCTGTCCAGCTGGCACCCACATCCCTTGAGGGCCATATCCTTGCTGCCAGGTAGGAGGGGGTTGACCTGCCCAGCCACTGGCAGCACTTGGCATGATCCTGCTTCCCCACTGACTGGCACCTGGTGGCCCTGGAGTTTGGCTTTTGCTATCTCGAGGCTCTGCACGTTTTACCTCCACTTTTTTGCCCATGATGTCGTGAAATTGCATGTTGACAGCCTGGTCCACTGATTGTTCATCCTCGAAAGTAATAAATCCAAAACCTCGGGGCCTCTGTTTCTCTGCGTCATAGATCATTACAACTTCAGTGACCACTCCGCATTTCTTGAAGTATTCCCTGAGCTCCATCTCGCCACAGTTATGAGGAATCCCACCAACAAAAATTTTATTTGATTTATTGTTATCGCTTCTGGATCCTTTCTGCCATCCTTCCTTCGGCCGTGTCCTTTCTGGTTGCATCCCCCTAGGTGTACGTGGCTTTGGATCAATATTTCGGCCATCTAACGTATGAGGTCTGCTGGCCAGTACTGTTCCAACAGAGTTAGGGTCTTTAAACTTTACAAATCCAAATCCTCGAGACTGGTTTGTCGTTTTGTCTTTCACTATTACACAGTCTACAACTTCTCCATACTGGGAGAAGTAGCTACGAAGAGTTTCTTGCGTTGTACTCCAGTCCAAGCCACCCACAAACAGCTTCCCGATCTCGTTGGCAGCTCCCACGCTGTTCACGGCGGCGGCGCCCAGCGGGCCGCGCCCGGCCCTTCCTCCTCCCCCGGCGGAAGATCATGGGCCGAGCGCTGCTCGCCGTGCAGCCGCCGCTCCGCCCCGCGGCGCTCCCCGAGACGCGCAACGGCCGCGCCCGCGGCCAACCCAAACTTCTCGAAGCCTGGGAATGGCACAGTGCAGATACATTCCAGAGGCTCTGTAAGAGACAGTCTGAGTCCGCTGAAGTTCTCAGCTTCACCTCAGCACAAGCTCTGCCAAATGCAAGCTGGTGCATGAAGAACACCACCAGGCTTCCCAGCTTGTGGCAGAAAGTCATATTAAACACAGTGACCTCATTAGTCTCCAGAGGCACAAGGAGGCACATTTCATGAGAGAGTGTGCAGGGAGTCAGCATGGACATAACCCTGATAAAACTGGTGAGAAAATAAACAGAAAACAAAGTGGGAGAGCCAAGCCAGCTCTGGAGAGCTACATGAACATCTGTCATAGTGCCATGAGCACAGTTCAAACGATATAAGAGCTGGCCTAGCAAAACAAGCCCAGCTCTGACAGACTGTAGCTCTACAATGCTTGTGGACTTGAGGATTAATTCTAAGAATACAGGTGGCTTTCAGCTCAACATATTTGCTTCTGTTGCACCTGCACTAATAGCCTCATGGAATGACAACTGTTTGTGCTTTGAAAGCAAAATGCACCATCCAGTAACCCAGCCAAAAAAGAATTACCATTTCATATTTTGTTGCATGTTGACAAGCACTTTATTTTTTCATAGGTTTCTCCTTAAGATTAGAGTTAATATCTTATCTGTAGAGCTTCCCATCACTCTGTATATTAAAAGCCAAACAAAAGCAACAGGTATTTACATCAATAGACTACGTATCTTTGGATCTGTAAGGGGTTATTTGAAATAACAATACACTATTATCATTAGAATAAAATTATAGTTTAAAAACATTCAATAAACAATGATCAAGCACTACTCTTACTAATCTATTTTCATTATGGTATTATATAAAAGAGGTTTGGCTTATCTTATAATTTAAAAAAGACCTGAACAGTAAGTACTGTGTAAGTATAGATTACAAAAATTTTGAAAATAAGTAAAAGGAGTTACAGAAGTTTAAGCTATTCATTTATTGACACTTTAAAGCCTCTGGCACATCTAAGTCTTCCAGTGTTTTAGATGATGCAGAATTGGATGCCATCTTTTTATACGTAGGTTTCACAACTATGAAGTTTGGAGAGTGAGATTTCTCTAGCCTGGGCAGACTAAACTCCTTTTCAGTGGGTTGGGGAAGAAGCGGCAATTTAAGCAGTCTATTAAATAATTATATTCTTAGTACTCATGACTGAAATACTGCATTAGGAAAGTTAACTAAGGGCCCTCCTCACCTACCAAAGACTTGCTACTTGCATTCATGGAAACGAACAAATATCAAGACAGCCATTTCACTGTTCTCTGCAAAAAGGAAAACAAACAGAAAACCCAGGCCTTCCAAGAATTGGGATGGATTCTTTATTTTTAAAGTTAAAGAGCAGCTGCCACCACGAACCAGGAATTACTGGTTTTCAGGTGAAGAAACATATGCTACTGATGTTATGACAGTTCAAAAAAACCTTGAACTTCTCCCCTCTAAGCAATCAAAAAGTTTTCAGATTCAACTCATTACAAGAAAGATGGAGAAGGATTCAGGTAGAAGGCTTTCCTCATGATTAATAATATCTTGACAGAAATCTCAGCAACCTACTCGTTTGCTACACTTGGCTGCCAAACATCTCACCAGGACACTCTCCACATGCCTGCAAATTACTTTTTGAAATCAGTTTTAAGCTCTTATCTGCTGTACCTGGGCACACTCCCTGTTGCGAACTATACAAAATTAACCATGTTAGAAGTTAGAAGCCAGTTGCTAGGTGTTACAATCTATTAGTCAAAAAAAAACCATTTCAAAGTTTCATAAATGAAGCCACATTAACCTTCATGCTTCCAAGGCACTTTTAGTTCCCTGTTGAAAGGTGATTTTTATGGTACAGTTATGTTGCCTGTAAGCATGTGCTCAGGGTACAACAATTCTTCACATGCTCAGAGTGACTTTACAGCACATGCACTGCAGAACTGGCCTCACTTGCCAGGCAACATGGTCTCAAACTCACCTGCTGCAACTGAACCAAGGATCTTTGCAGGATGCTGGATACCATCACCTCTTTTTCATTTGACAAGTCACGGTTAGTAGCATCCAAATTTAGATTCTTACTCACTGAAACATTCGTCTTGTTGTGTCTTTTTACTATTTCCAGTAGAAAGTTACATAGAACTAAAAATGGGCTGGAGCCAAGTTTTTGGGGGGTTCTCAGAAATACCAAGGCTTACCTTATAAAAAAGGAGGGCAAAGTCACGTGTCATTTTCACCAAGTGGCGTATGTGCTCATCTGTCAGTTGGCAAACCTGTGAATAAGATGAGCACCACAGTAAGAAAACCTATAATACATTGCCCGTCCAGACATCTTCAGCCAATATGGAACTACGTTACTTGCTGTTATGAAGGATTCTCTAACTACACATTTTATCTCAGTAAAATAATATATTTGCATGCAAAACTCTATGCAAATTCATTGTATGAATATTAAATAGCGTACTTTGCTTCGCCCTGAAAGACATACTAGATGAAAAATGTCGGTGGTCTTTACAACAACCTAAGAGTTCTTGATCAAAGGAAACTAAAATGAATTTTAACATCATAGAATTAACTCATTCATGTGCCTTGGTTTCTTAGGAGATTTTAGGATATGACTTAACTATCATCAGATAGTCTCTTTCCCATGAGAGATCTTCAAGAAGAATAGCTGCACCAAAGGTACCACAGTTTGAGAGGTGCATCAAGAAGACACAGTTTTGTTAAGAATATCAGAATTCCGACTTATATTTTCCTCTGCCAGCTCACATGGTCAACACATCCCAGTGCATTTTGATTAACACCTCGTTGTGGGTTAAGCACTGAAGTGGTTTGCCCAGGGGGCTGTGGAACCTCTGTCCTTGACAAGTTTTGAGTGTCCACTGTATAAGATCCCAGACAATCTGATTTAACATGAAAGTTAGTCCTACTTTGAGAAGAACATTAGAATAGACCTCCAGAATGCCCTTTTTAACTTTTTTTTTAAATTTTTTTTCTTTTAAGATATTTTGGAGAAGCCTTTTGAAGGGATTTCTCTTTAGTTTCCATAGAATCAGAATTCAAAGACCACAGAAACCAGGTAGGGATAAGGATGGAGGGTAGAATGGCTCATTTAATGTTTGGCTTTCTTAATAAAGAGCGTGATTCCTAAACTATTCATTCAAATTTGGCTATTGGATAGACAGGCAGGCTTTAGCTCCTGTTGATTTTAACTTTCATTTAAATAAACCAAGCACAGCAGCAGTGCAATTTTTACTGTAATCACAGAATGGTTAAGGTTGGAAGGGGCCTCTAGAG